ATTTCACATTTTTGAGGTGTTTGTATAAAAGATCAGTATATTTAGGCTTGTATTTTGCAATAGAACATTGAATCAGAATGCCTTCACCTGCAAGTAAGAGAAAATGAAGACATTTGATTTAAACAAAAATGCAATCTACTTTTTCATAATACACGATATTCACTGATGGTAGACTCCAAAGGTTGGTTGAGTCAGTAACTCAGTCATGTCACCGAGATGTGAGGAGCCTGAGTTTGCTGGCTGTTCTGTTGCCTTTAGCATAAAACACGTTTCCTTAGCAATTCCTGTGGTTGAAGCTGGACATAATGATGTTCTCAGGCAGAAAGATGCTCTCTCTATTTGGTTTCCCTTCTTGAAAGTACGGAGACCTTTCCCAGACGTGCTCCAGCAGACCGTTCCTCAGGCATCACTGTCCAAGAACAAGGTCGCCCAGTCAGGAGCGGGGAAATACGACAAGTGTGGCTTATGGTGGTCCATCTCCCCCAGTTAAGGGGCAGGTGGGGGCTGTGTTCCAGCAGAGAGGGTCCAGGGTGACTGGTGGGTCACAGCCAACGGTGTCCACTATACACGGGCTCTGGGTGTCCGGGCAAGGTTCGTCCTGGCCTTAATTGTGTGATTCGGGGAAGATTATTTGACATCTCTGTGTTAGAATTTCACCATCTTGAAAAGAATGTCTGTCTTGTTCTTGTAAGTCTGATTTCTGCTGTAAGTCTCAATACATGTCTTCCAATTAAGATCAGCGAAAGAGTTTTAGTGTCTTCAGTAAGAACTCTCAGAATCATCAGCTCCGTCTTAGGGGAGGTGGCATTTTGACCAAGAGATGTAGTGCTTTTCAAATTCTACCTGGCCCGCTTTAGGGGCCTTAAGGACTGATGCGTGCGGGGAGTGGCTGGCGGGCGGGCGGGGCTCGAGTCTCAGCGTCCCGCTCCGGGATCGTGGGCCTCCCTGCTCACTCCAGTGCGGAAGCCGAGTCTCAGGCTCTGCCTCCCGTGTCCTCCCAGCAGCCCGTGGTGCACGGGATGTTCGTGGCTGAAGAGCTGGGAGCGCGGGGCCAGTGGGGACCTCGCCAGACCCACTGCTTTCTCGCCAGGGGCCCCACTGCTAGGGACTGACTAGACCCATCCCTGCTCCTTCTGAGGATGAGGGAGATGGGGACTCCTGGGGGCGGGAGAGTTTCTTAAAATCTTAATCCCTCTCCTGGAGCCCTCCGCTAGACGTCAGGCCTTTATATTATGATATAGCTGAGAGCAGTTTAGATTTGTAAAAATAACAATTGAGTAATGCATTGTAAGTGAGGTGTTACCAGAGTTTAAGTGTCAGGGGAATTTTAAAAACGGAGTACTGAATGGAAAGCTCTGAGCTGTTGGTTCACGTTGTGCAGCACCGTCAGTACCACCAGTGTAAGCTGCTGGTTCACGTTGTGCAGCACCGTCAGTACCACCGGTGTGAGCTGCTGGTTCACGTTGTGCAGCACCGTCAGTACCACCGGTGTGAGCTGCTGGTTCAGGTTGTGCAGCACCGTCAGTACCACCGGTGTGAGCTGCTGGTTCAGGTTGTGCAGCACCGTCAGTACCACCGGTGTGAGCTGCTGGTTCAGGTTGTGCAGCACCGTCAGTACCACCGGTGTGAGCTGCTGGTTCACGTTGTGCAGCACCGTCAGTACCACCGGTGTGAGCTGCTGGTTCACGTTGTGCAGCACCGTCAGTACCACCGGTGTGAGCTGCTGGTTCAGGTTGTACAGCACCGTCAGTACCACCAGTGTGAGCGTTGTAACTGTTTAGGACAGAGCCCTTTTCTATGTGTGCTGTGTGCATTCTACTTTTTAAAAAAAATTTATTTTGGCTATACATGTGGAGTATGATTTAGCTGCCAGACCCAAGGGGACTCTGTGTTCTTAACTGTTTCTCCAGGGTGTGCAGCTGCTGTATTTTTGAGTTTTGTGTCTGCATTTTATACTTTCTTGGCCTACTTGCTACCATTGTATCTATCACAGATCCTTTCTTCACATTGTCAGCTCTTAACACTAGCAACCTCCGTTCATTCCCTGTTTGCTTTTGGGCAGAGAAACACCAAGGCACGGGGAAGTTCCACAGGTGTGGGGAAGGGGCACAGAAGCTGTCTGACTTCTCAGCCTTCTTTCGTTTCTTTTTTCTCAGCTGTGTCCTTATGTTACTTGGAATTCATTCCTGCTAGATGAGGCTTTCTTGTACTAAAATTATGTGTGAAGACTGTTGTTAGTAGTAATTTAGTTGATATCAGTAGTGCATTTTGATTCTGTTCAGACCATTTAACTCTCTGACCAAGTGAAGCATGAGACACCACGTTGAATGGCCGTGTCTAGAAGGAAGGTTGACAGAAACATGGTCTGGAGCCACCGTGACTTCTCCTGCCCACGATGACACGCCCTACTGATTGGTCATGTCGTTCTTTGTAGCCGAGTGGAGACGAAGCCGTGATCCCGCACGCCGTCTTCCAGGAAGATGCTGCTGCCGGTTAGAGCAGGACTGCAGAAGGAGGCACTTCTGGGTCACCGAGCCGGGGTTCCGCATGTCACAGCTTAGCCTAAGCCTCCACTCAGTCGCTACATTCCCCCAAAGCTCTAACTTGGAGGCATGGGGTACAAATAAATAAAGTGAGAAAAACTTCCAAAGGTGAAAGGATTTTCTTACTAAGTAAAGTATGAGAACCAGCATGAAGAATCCAAACCAAAATAAACTTCTAAAAACTCAAAGTTCTCCACCTCCCTCCCAGAGACTGCTGACTGGTGAAAACGACCAGCAAGCTAATGAATGCCACACGCATGTATCAGGAGGATTCAGGCTGTAAATCTTTTAACTTGTGAAGCTGGTGAGGAAAGATGCAAGGTCCACTCAGTCTAAGTGGAAGTGGTGCCACCTCCTAAAATCTCATCTGTCTTCTCTTCTGTTATCGTAATTCTAAGCAAGGCATCCCCCACCCAATCAAAAAAGGAACATAGTGAAGCAGGGCAGTGTTACAGAATGTGAACGGTTTGTCCTGTCCTGGCTGAGATGCTCGTGCAGTAGGCATTTGACTTTAGAGTGAGGGGCGTCTCGCGGTGTAGGGTTGATAGAGGAACTCCTTGAGATCTGGTTTTGCAGCTCACATCCCCTGTTCTTCTAGGGACCACAGAGGGAGAGGATGTGTAGACAGGCGAGGAGGATTTGTGCAGAGGTACCTATGGGGAGCGCCGGGCTAGGCCGTGAAGTGGGAGGATGCAGAGTGTGTGACCGTCTTCACTTAGGCCTGGTGAGTGGGACCTCCAGGTGCCAGTGTTCCCTGCAGCTGTGAGACACGGAGCCTGCATGGACAGTAGAGGTGGCTGCATTTTAGGGGTGTTCTCCATGCCCAGGTGAGCAAGCAGCGTGCTAGAGAGAGTGGGCTCCAGGCTGTTGGAAGTTGTGCCTGTGGGCACTGGTCACCTGAACGTGGAGGGACTCCAGCAGGGAGTGTCTGCGGTAAGACTGAGAGACCCCTGGAGGCTGCGGGGTGGCAGGAGGAAGCAGATGCATCCGTGAGTCATGGCTGGAGGGGTCCAGAGCCCTTTAGGGAACCTGTGAAAATGCCACAAGACTCAAGTGGGTTTGAATACCTGGCAGGCAGAGAGCACAGGCCCCAAAGGACATTCCATTCTTACTTCTTTATCCATCCCACCCTTAACCTGTACGACAGAGCTGCCATGTTTCCCCCAAACGAGCAAGCAGCCTGTTAACTATTGACTTTGGCCGGGAAGAGGGAAGAAAAACGTGTTACCTTTGGGTGAAGTTGGAGTGTTGACCACGGGCTAAGCTGCCTCATTTCTGAATTGAGGCTGTGTTTGTAATGATGAGACAGCAGGACTCTCCCAGAGAAGAGTAAGTACCACAGTCACCGGACTAATTTCTGAATTGAGGCTGTGTTTGTGATGAGACAGCAGGACTCTCCCAGAGAAGAGTAAGTACCACAGCACCGGACCTACCCACATTAAAAATTCTTTTGGGGCCAGAGTCATTTCTCCGCTGCGTAAGTGTTAAAGAGATGCTGCCCTATCAAATAATTTGTGTCTGGTTTATACCTTATGAGTTGGGCTTGTCCAGTGTTTCGGGGTGGGGGACAGCAAGTCAGACGAGCAAAGTACATACCCACGTGGTGGAAACCAGCATGCGGACCGTGTAGTCCCTTTGAGGCTGCTGAAGCGTCAGGTTTCAGGCCTCGAGCGGCAGAGATGAGCCCTGAGAGACAAGCGGGTTCGGTTCCTGGACGTGCTTGGATTTCATCCTGCAAACGGGCGGCGGGGGCAGCAAAGGCCGCCAGCTTGTGGGCCTTGGTGGGCACATCTGGCATCCCAGCATGGAACGTGACCTATAGCAGATACTTGATGAGTGTTCGAATGAATATGTAAATGAATTGATCCAGAAGTCAGTCTTAAGCATGTCGGCAAGATGAGGGAGCAGCAGATGATGTGGATACCCTGTTGTTACCACAAGCTTTTCTTCAAGTCATGCTAGACATGGATGCAAATGTGGCTGCTTTGTGATTAGATGTGGTTTTATTAGTACTTTGATGATTTCTTAGGCAGTACGTCTTAAAACAACTTTCGTATAGGTTTTAACAAAAATCATTTTAACAAAGTGATTTAATATTTTAAAATTACTGTATTCAAATTTTGATTTTTATACATTGAGTGGGGATTGATGTCATATTTCGATAGGTTTAATAAAACCAACAACTCAGCCTGATGTCTTAATCCTCTTTAAACCTTATATTCTTTTATTGATGTAATTTCTGTATTTCAACTAGTTTCCTATCTTTTCTATATATAATCAAAGTTTACATGTTAGAAAAATCAGCCATGATGGGGGAAATGTATTTTGTACATATATACAAACATATTCTGGGTAATGTATGATTAATATGTATTGTTGTAATGGTTTGTATTCGTATGTGTTACACTGGATACATAATAACCACTGAAATCTATTTGAAACCTTTTTTCCCCTCAGAAGTAAATTTTCCCAGAAGGACTTAGAAATGCTGTTCCATGGGATGAGTGCCGATTTCACAAGTGAGAATTTTTCAGCTGCCTGGTATCTTATAGAGAATCACTCAAACACCAGGTTAGTGGATATGGGACTGTCAGCTGTAAAGGGTTTCACTCAGGTGCTAAAACTGGAATTACTTGGTAACTTGAGTTTTAGGTCTGGCTCTGCCTACAGTTGCATAGTTTTAGGTCTACGAGCTCTTTGACTTTGGGTTTGCCCGTGAACATCTCAGGGTGTCTGTTTCCTTATTTGTACAATGAGATGATTCTTTAGAGGCCTTTCATTTCCCACTGTCATTTTATGTTCAATATATTTCATTATTGGCGCAGGTTATTAAAAATTTATGGAGCCTTAGCTGGGGACTTAAACTGACACGTGTGAGTGTGATGTCTCCCTACTCAATAACATGTAGATTTTAAGTTCTGGTGTGGAACGTGGAACGCGCTACCCTCTCTGACCACACGTGTGAGTGTGATGTCTCCCTACTCAACAACATACAGATTTTAAGTTCTGGTGTAGAACGTGGAACGCGCTGCCTTCTCTGACCATAGGGCAAAGGAAGATGAGTTGGTTTATCATCATGTAAGGACCTGCCTTAAAATTAGCAAAAAAGTAGACAAAGTCATATATCAAATTTCAAGGTTCCCTTTTGTCTTCTAATTACATTTTACTCTCTGCAAGAGCAGGTTTGTAGCTTATTTGCAAGATTGATTTAAAATAATTATGTTCCACAAAAACGTTTGGATAAATCAATGGTTTATTGCTTAAAACTTAAATTATTGATAAATCAGTGTGCTAAAATATACCTTAATATAAATATTTCATTCACTTATTAGGATGAAAAGCATTACTAGAAAACATGAAGAAAAGTTGGCATTTTAATACGTAGGGTAAATTTAACCTGATTGCTTTTTAAAGCAAATGTCCAAGGTGAATTTTTTCATTGTAGAAGATGATTCTAATTTTATATTACAGATGTAAAATTTCTATTGTTATAAGTCAAAATTGAGCTCCGTTTCTTGTGTAGGTCTATCAAGAATACGTTTAAAGTTTTATAGCCAGATTTTCTTAGCTCAAATGGACATACAACTTCAGAAATACAGAGGCCTGCCTTCACTTTTCTCTGCTTTAGATATTGAGATAAGATACTGTGGTCTTCCTAGTTATTTAAGTTGTGAATTGACCCACAGGATTTACATAATTTTATTATTAAGGACAGAGGACTGAGTATTGATGAGTAGAACATTATGCTCAGTGTTCCACAATGCTTCAGTGAATGTACAAAGCAGTTACACTTTGGAAATATTGTCTATCACTGGATGATCTGTGTCTTCTTATCTGGTACAGGATGTTCAAAACTCTTTATCTGGTAAGTTGTATATATTATATATAGGTTATAAAAACGTTACACATTTACTTCTTAGGGGTCTAATGTATTTGGAATTACCATTGAGGGCCCCAACACCCGTATAGCTGTTGTAATTTAGGCATTCGTAATAAAAGGTTTAGGTCTACGTAACAATTTGAAAGCGTTTAGTTTTCGTCTGGCTTCATGTGATTTTAATCTGTATGCTGCTTAGCATCGGTTTTAGCATGTGAAGTGTTTTCCACCGAAGGAATTCTGTTTTCTTTTTTGCGTGTTTGGAGTGTCAAACGTTTGATTTCTTTATTTCCTTTCAGTTTTGAGCAGCTCAAAATGGCAGTCGCCAACCTCAAGAGACAGGCGAACAAGAAGAGCGAGGGCAGCCTGGCCTACGTGAAAGGCGGTCTCAGTACCTTCTTTGAGGCACAGGATGCCCTCTCAGGTAAGGCGATCCTCAGAGCCATCTGCCAGCGGCTTCCGCCGTGGAAACCTGACACTGCCTGCAGAGTGTTTACAGGGTGTGACATTCGGTCTGTTTTTATCAAAGTAGAGATCTAAAATGTGCTATAAATACTTGTTGCAGAGTAGGCTGGCATCTCTTTGAAGACTTGGTACTTTAAAAATTTATCTCTGAGGCTTTTGTTAACCCATCTTACATGTGTGAAATGGGAGACTACTTTAACTCTCTGTGATGCCCACTCTCCAGGGCTGATAAGAAATTAAATCCCAATGCGTAAAATTTGAGGATTTAAAAAAATCCTCTCACAACCATCAATATCTTACAGATGTGACTAATTCTGTCAATGCCACCCACTGTGTGTTCACTTTGGAAAGGCGGATGACAGGATACCAGTCTCCAGCCCTTCCCACCCAGGGCCCTTCCAGCCCAGGCCCCCACACGTGCACGCAGGGCGGATGACAGGATACCAGTCTCTCGCCCAGGCCCCCACACGTGCACGCGGGGCGGATGACAGGATACCAGTCTCCCGCCCAGGCCCCCACACGTGCACGCAGGTAGCTGTCACTGTGCCATCATCTGTGTGTGGGAGGGACGTTGTGTGGAGTACAGATGTCATAGCTTTAGACATGTTAATGCAAGATGTTGGTAGGGTTTTTTTTTTTAAATAAAATTGCCTTTAATTAATAAAAGTTTAATTATTGCTATTTAGTAAAAAGCGATCTTTATTAATAAAAGTTAACTCAGTTCTTTTTAATAGCTAAGATACTTAAACCTAAGTACCTGTATAGCTTAAGCATCCATCACTCTACCCGTACATTGAGGCCACATCTTCAATTCGGAAAGGTAAATTTTAAAAAATTATTTTGTGTTCCTAAACCATAGACATTCTTTTATTGTTTTAAAAGTCCCCCTCCCCCATCTCTACAAAAAATACAAAAAATTAGCCAGGCATAGTGGGCGCCTGTAGTCCTAACTCCTCGGGAGGTTGAAGCCGGAGAATTGCTTGAACGTGGGAGGCGGAGGTTGCAGTGAGCTGAGATCGCGCCACTGCACTCCAGCCTGGGCGACAGAGCGAGACTCCGTCTCTAAATAAATAAATAAATAAGTCCCCCTCTTCCTGTGCCATATGTGCTTAATTGATCTCCGACACATTAAATGTGTATGTGATGCAGCTTCTTCCTTGCAGGAAGGGGTAAAATGTGAATGTCTAGGGGGGAACAGAGAAGGTCAGTGCTCTTCCTTGATAAATACATGTGCCTTATGTTTCTTGATGGTGTGCCATTCTTAATTTGTGCTTATTGCTGTTCTCTCTAAGTCACCAATAGTGAATCTTAGCATGTCAGGAAGAAAACCTGAGCATGTATGAACAGAGTTTGGTATTAATCAGATAAAGTGGTTATTCATATGCCCAGTAGCTGCACAAATGTTTCCCACAAATTACTGTAATTAAAAGGGTTTATCTTAGCAACAAGACAAGTTTGGCGTTTCCACCCTTTTTAAAAAACGTATTTACATCTGCATATATATTTGTATTTATGCTTTTTGCTTCTGTAAATGACTTCACTCTTGGCAGATCTTAAGAAGTTTTATTTGGTACACCAGATTTATGTAGTCACATTTATTAGTCATTCACCCTAGACGTATGTTAGCAACTTTAAGTTTAATAAAGATAATGCTGACCAGCTACTAATGAACACATGAACTTATAGCATATAGGAAGTGATTATAATAGTAAATTTGTACTTTAGACACGTGTATTTAGCTTTTATGTTTTTTGAAATAAAGGAAATGCACATTATAGAAAATACCAAATAGATAATTAGCAAGAGTGTCTATTGTAGATATAATCACATTAACATTTTAATGTATTTCCTTTTATCTTCTTTTCTTAGCTTATATGAGTATCTATTACAAAGTTGGGTTTATATTGTAGAATTGTGTGTGCTAGAAACCTTTTATTCTTTAGGTAAAACCTGTTGCACGCCTCTAAGTGATTATGTTAATTTACTATAGGATTCATACCTTTTTTTTTTTTTTTTTTTGAGAAGGAGTCTTGCTCTGTCGCCAGGCTTGAGTGCAGTGGCGCAACCTCGGCTCACTGCAAACTGTGCCTCCCAGTTTCAAGCAATTCCCCTGCCTCAGCCTCTGGAGTAGCTGGGACTACAGGTGCACACCACCATACCCGGCTGTTTTTTTGTATTTTAGTAGAGACAGTTTCACCACATTGGACAGGATGGTTTTGATCTCCTGACCTCGTGATCTGCCCGCCTCGGCCTCCCAAAGTGCTGGGATTACAGGCGACAGCCACTGCACCCGGCCTATTAGCTTTTTATGACTTTTTCTAACTGTAGTCTTAAATGAAATTGATGTGTAGTTTTGTAAAAGGCTTTTTTGGTCAAGTTTGAGTGTTACTGTTACGTGGTAACGTGGGGATCTCCATGTGTTGCTCTGTGTGCTGTCAGTGGCCATGTAGACTAGGAGTTACGTGGTTCAAATTTGACAGAGCTGATATGTAGTTGCTCAGGTAATTTGGTTTTACTTTTCTATTATGAATATTTTCGAACATGTGAAAAGCGGAGATGAAAGTATAATTAACTTCTGTGTACCTGTCACCTAGATTTAACAATTATTGCTCTTTTTTTATACTCACTTTTGAGGTTGGTTTGTTTGCATCTTGCTGATGTATTTTAAAGCAAACCTCAAGCAGCATGGTTTCCTCCTAAATACCTGAATGTCAGTCTCTCAAGTAAGGGTAAGGACATTTATGTGCATAATCACAATGATATTATCATAGTTAACCAAATTAGCAGTAATTTTTAAATATCATCTCATTCCCAGTTCAGATTTCTCAAATTATCCCCAAACTTGTTTTTTTATAGTTGATATGTCCAGATCAAGATTCAAATAAAATTCAGGCATTTCACTTAATTTTTAAATCTCTTAATCCTCTTTTGAACTAAAACCATCCCCTCACCTTTCTTACCCTGTTTCTGGTTTTTCGTTGTTTTTTTGTTTTGTTTTGTTTTGTTTTGTTTTTGTTTGTTTGTTTGTTTTTAAATGGAGTCTCACTCTGTTGCCCAGGCTGGAGTGCAGTGGCGTGATCTCGGCTCACTGCAACCTCTGCCTCCTGGGTTCAAGCGATTCTCCTGCCTCAGCCTCTCGAGTAGCTGGGATTACAGGCGCCGCCACCGCGCCCAGCTGATTTCCACACCCAGCCTGTTTCTGGTTTTTCATGCCACTGATTTGTTGAAGAAACAAGGTCATTTGTCCTGGAAGGTATCCCCCACTCTGAATTTGACCGATGACTTCCTCATGGTATCATTTAACTTATTTTTCTTGCCATTAAATTGCTTGGACTTACCTAATTGGATGTTAGATAGATTCACTTTCAGCATTTTCAGGCACGGATAGTGCTGTGCTTCCTGGTTCATCACACCAGGCAGGAGTGCGTTGGCGTCTGGGGCCCCTCCTGAGGACTGAATCAGTAGCTTCAAGGGGGGATTGGGAGCCAGCAGGTGAGACAGATAAGTGTGTGTACACACACACACGCACACGCACACACACGTATGCTTTTCAACCCTCTACTATCTCTGCTTTATTTTGATTTTGTTTTCCCTGAAATTCTCTATTTTATCAAGATTTTCATGTTTTATTAGCATTGCATTCTAATTTTTAAATTATTTAAAATTCATGTTATAGGCCCTTTCATTATCTGTTTTATTTGTATGTTCTATGTGATTTTTTTTTAACATTGATTTTTTAGGGATATCTTTTTTGTGTTTTTAAAATGTGTAATTTTAATTTTCCTCCTTGACTTAGTAGTTTTTAGTAAATTTTTCTTTTCGTAGTCTGTTCTTACAGTACTGTGAACAGAGAAAATGTTTCTTAATATATATTAAGTTTTTTTAAGTATGCCAAAAATTAAAAAGGATGGACAGACATGTTTTCTTCAGGGTCCACTATCTGATATAATATCAATGCCTGATTAATTATATTATTTAAATCTAGCTTCTTTATATTAAACATGACAGACAAATCTCCGTCTTTAATTTTGATTCTGTCAGCTTTTCTTTGTGTGTAACCCATGTGTTTGCTTCATAACTTCTGGTTCTTAGATTCTCTTGATGAGAACGTATTCTTAAGTAGTCCCCGAGATTTCCCTCGGTTTGATGTTTTGCTAGATGGACTCACAGAACTCAGGGAAAGCCGTTGTACTGAGTTACGGTTCATTACCGGGAAATTACAGATTACAGTCAGCCAGGGAGAGAGATTCATGGAGCAGATCTAGGTGATTTTCATCCATGGAGCTTCCAGTAGTCTCCCAGTGGAACTCCAGGCAGCACTGACTTTCCTGGTAACAGTGCGGACAACGCACGTGGAGTATTTCCATCCAAGGAAGCTACCCGAACCCTGTTGTCCAGATCCAGAGTCTCTAGTAGGGCCCTGTCACACGGACGTGGTCAAGGCTGACTTCAGTCTTCTCCCTCAGATCAGGCGGATATTGAGTGACCCTAAGTCCTCACTGTCAGTTCCACTGTTAGATTATCTAGTGCGGCCGGTGGTCCACAGGCAAACAAAGACACTCTTACCAGGCAGAACATTTCAAGAGTTTAGAGATTACCTCCCAGGACCTGAGGGCAAAGGCCAGACCTTTTGGGGGGCAAGATTAGATTATTTGATGCACAATAACGTAATGTTAGCGTTTTATACCTTTCTTTTTGTATGCGTTTGCTTGGTATATTATTTGTAATATTCTTTGTAACCTTTTAGAGATTTTTCTTTTGACATGTGTCTTGTGTTGCTACATGTGGCAGGATTTTGATTTTTTAAATACTATTCTGAGAGCCTTTGCTTTTAAATAGAAGAATGGAAGCCATTTACATTTATCATAATTGAAATGTTTGTCCTGATATCTTTTTCTTTTGTCTTGTTTTGTTACCTTTTTTGCTTCCTTTTTTCTTCTTGGCAGTGTAGACCATATTATTTGCAGATTTGAGAGAAATGTTTTAAGATTTTATTATAGGTTGTCTCGACTTCTGTTACATTGACAACAGTTTAGCATGTCTTTATTTCCCATACCTTTCCCTTTTTTTTTTTTTTTTGCCTCAATTTAATTTGAAATTATGGACCCAGCTTATTTTACCTTTTCCAGTTTTACATTTATTTTTTGTCTCTTACATTTAATTTTATATTTACCACAGTTATACAGTAAACATGTATATATTGTGTGTACATATCTATGTGTGTCTGTGTGAATATATGTGTGTGTGTATATATACACACAAACATATACAGTACATATACACGTAAACTTAATTGGCTTTGATGTTTATTGCCTATGTTTTATATTTCATCTTTCCTATCCTTATCTTTGAAATTTTTTGTCTTGAACAATGTGTTACATCTTTTATGCTATACCTTTTGAATTCTGGTGTGTCTGGAAGTACCTCTTGCCTGTATGCATGAACACACTTGACTGTAAGAGAATTATTTTCTGAAGACATTGATCCAATGACTTTTAGTGTTGCAGAGACAAAATCCTGAGCCAACATAATTCTTCATTACTTGTAAATTGTTTGTTTTTCTCCCTATCTAAATGTTTAAAAGATGTATTTGTTTAGCCTTGGATTTTTTTAGAAACGAAAAAACACCTTTGCAGGATATACTGGAATACAGGTTCTGTTTTCATTCATTTTAGCCAACACTTGATAAGCCTTCCGAACCTAGAGACTCCCATCTTCAATTCTCGGAGCTCTTCTTGTTTTTACATTAGATAGAACTCACGGTTTTCCTCTGAATGTCTTGGATTAACACGTCGCTCTCTCGCTTCTGCCCCTGCGCGCTGCCCAGCAGTGGATGCCGCCTCCCGATTTCCGCCTGTTTTCCTGCCATTCTGGGATGTGGGGAAGTTGTTCTCTAAATGGTTATCAAAGGAAAGGAGCTGTGTGGTTAAGAAAAATGGGGGAACAGAACTGTAGTCCTGAAGATAGGTACGGAAACACTGGAAGATGTTTCTGGTCTGTACCATCCTTGTGTTCCAGAGTTGGGCATAGGGGATAGGTACGAATCAGAGCTTTTCTCTGCTTTTTTTTTTTTTTTTTTTTTTTTCATCATCTGCATGCTTCAGTTCCATCCAGTGAACTATTTCATACCCAGTCCAAGTCTGCTTTTTTTCAGTCCACCCAACCCGGTATACCGTTAATAGCCTTTACTCATCCTTAAGTTTTTATGCCATTGTCAGTTTTGTTTCTTCCTGTGGGTCCCCGCAGGTATTTTAATTAGAACTTGAGAAGAAATGTGTCTGGCATAACACCTGCCAGTAGCAACCTTTGTATCTTTAGTACGGTTTTTTCTTTATTCTGCAAAAATGTTTCTAGCACCAGACTTCATTTTGCCATGGCCTTCCCTCTGTCATTCCCTTGTGTTCCCTTGAAGTGGGAGTGACCTGTGGGTCGTTAGCAGATGCTGCTCACACTGGCCCTCCGGGGTGGGGGCGAGGTTGGTGGAGCTGTTGGTAGAGGGAAAAGGCCTTCCCGAGCTCCTCAGTGCCTCTGAGCACCACCTTTGTTTTGCTAGCGATTTCCCTGAATGCCCCGAGCTTGTGCATTTAATGACCTGTATAATCTCTTGTTTTTAGTGACAAATCCACCATTATCACTTGCTCCTTTCAAGAACACCTGCGGGTCAAAACTATATGAATGAATTTTGGTTACGGTTACTAGTGTGAAAAGCCTGAGCAGAGCAAATGACACATGTTGCTCCCAGCACTATTTGTCTTACTTGTCTTCCTTCCCCTGTTCCTTTTATTGCTGCTGCTTAACTCTGGGTGGCTTGAGACATAATTGATTTTTTGACACGTTCTGTTGTTAGTGTCTGTTGATGTATGAAGATAATTCAGGTAAGTATCATTTTCAAGGACTCAGTTATCTCAGTGAGAATCATTCCTGTTAGTCTTCTAGTTGCAATTATTTTATTATTTATTGATTTTCTTCAGTATAATTTGGGAAGAGAAGGAACCAGAGAATACTTAACCAGTTTAAATATAATTTATATATGATTTGTCTACTCTGATAAAAGTTTGGTAAAATAAGAAATAGAAACTAAATGTTTGAAGGGCTCTTTGTCAATTTAAAATATTAATGCATCTTACACTAACCCTTCCTCTTCTCCTACTTCAGTAAGTATAGTCCTCCTCAGAGGTCAGCATGTGAGCCAAATTAGGCCGCAGCCTTTGTACAGGCCGGGAGCTAAGCATGGCTGTGTTTTCCCATGCTAAAAACAAAACAAGAAGAATATGTGATAGAGGCCGTGTGTGGCCCACGAAGCCTGAAGTGTTTACTGTTTGGTTCTTCATAGCAATAGTTTGCTCATCTGTGATCTGGCTTGAATATTCCTGTCTCACACGGGCTAGCATTAACGTAGAATGCTTAGAGCATGTACATGCTTCTGTGCCCAACCCTGGATCCTTTAGATACTACCCTACACAGACATTATTCCTTAGTGCCTCGTTTAACAACGGCATTTACATAAATGCATGGATGGGTATTATGAATTTTTTATTTCAATTGCAAATTTGACATCTACATCTTATTTGAGCGTTAAAATGATCAAATAATCGTAGTGAACTAATAGTCTTTCTATAACCTTGATTTTTCTTTAAGAAGTGCTGTTATACATACTTTTTTTGTTTTCTCAAGTACAAACTTATAATGTTCAACTGCTTCACATATTTAAGTTTTAATAGATTAGAAACAATAACAAATCTATGATCATGTACCAAGTTGCTTATTGAGTTATTCTACTTAAAACTGTTTTCAGAGAAAATAAAAGGTCAAGTGAACCAGACATTGGGTTATTTGGTTTAATTTTCTGGAAAATAGGATTGCCTTTATCAGATGCCAGTGTCTCTCAGTCCTCATGCTTGGCTGACAGTTTGACAGTGACTCTGCTGTGGGGGAGACGGGTGGAGGAGGTTAGCCTGTCAGCAAAAAGGGCTGTAAACTGAGCCAGGGGTCCGGGGTCACCTCACCTTGACCTGCTCATCAGTGATGGGTTTTGTCAGCATCAGAAAATGTGGCTACATGATTCCCTTTAATGCTGATTTTGACTCAGACAGCAACCCGTGGAGCTGCTGTGGGGTGTGACATCTCAGCACGGCGCCTGCTCAGTGGGTCCTGGTGTCCTTCTCGCCAGGACTGGCAGAGCATCACAGCAGCCTTTAAACCAAGAGGGAGAGCAGATCTGCACACACACAGAGGGAGAGCGGACCCGCACACACACAGGAGGGAGAGCGGATCTGCACACACACAGAGGGAGAGCGGATCCGCACACACACACAGAGGGAGAGCGGATCCGCACACACACAGGAGGGAGAGCGGATCCGCACACACACACACAGGAGGGAGAGCGGATCTGCACACCACCACACAGAGGAGGGGAGAGCGGATCCACACCACACAGAGGAGGGGAGAGCCAGAAGATCCGCACACCACACAGGAGGGGAGAGCGGATCCGCACACCACACACACAGAGGAGGGAGAGCGGGATCCCGCACCACCACACACACACAGGGAGGGAGGAGAGCGGATCTGCACACACACAGGAGGGAGAGCGGATCCGCACACACACAGGAGGGAGAGCGGATCCGCGCACACACAGGAGGGAGAGTGGATCCGCACACACACAGGAGGGAGAGTGGATCCGCACACACACAGGAGGGAGAGCGGATCCGCACACGCACAGGAGAGCAGATCTGCACACGCACAGGAGGGAGAGCAGATGATTGGTCTCGAAGACAGATGATTGTGTTAGGTACTATTTTAATGGTGGTAAACTGTGAATAACGTAGACTGGTGTCTGCTGGGTGCCTTGTACAGGGCAGCATGGTTTTACTCCTTTTCAGCAGTGAAAATACTGTGACCATTTTAAAAAGCTGTTTAAAAATATCATTTTGATTTAATGTATCTCCACCCATTAAAATGGCCTACATTTTAACTAGATTTTTTTTTTCCTAGCCATCCATCAAAAGCTAGAAGCAGATGGAACGGAAAAAGTAGAAGGATCCATGACGCAGAAACTGGAGAATGTTCTGAACAGTAAGTTTTGTACTACTACCCATAACTATTTACGGACTTTACAACATGCTTTAAAATTAGTTCTTGGACCTGATATCACGGGATAAGGCAGTAAGTTGCATTTTAGTATTTATTTCTAAATGGTAATGATTTAATGAACACAAAGGGGAATAGAAACATTGAAAATGAATGTTCTGTTTCTGCTTGCATTTTATTTATGAGAAATCTTAATTTGAAAACAATCCACTTCTTGAGGAATAAAGTTTCCTACCATAAAACCGACCAGCATATAAACAGCATCTTCAAAGCTAGGAAAGCACTGAAGCAGTAGCCAGGATTGTCACTGACCAGCAACCTGGAGGAGCCGCCATCAGGTGTCTCCCAGCGTTAATGCAAATAACCTCAGCCGTGAGAGTAACAGATTCTTAGGGGCCATTTATTTGTGTATACCTTGCCTTTTTCCAAAAAAGAATTTAAGGCCGCTGGCTATTTAAGAATGTGTCTAAATCTGAGATATTTTGTAAAAATTATAGGCCCAGGGAAAATGGCTATGTGCAAACTTTTGAGTTCTGTCCACCTCCCTGGTCTATCCGTTTTCTGACATCCTAGGTCCCAGCCCAGAAGAAACTGATCAGATGAATTAATCCTTACTATGACATTACTGGCTTAAAAATAAATAACTTAAAATAAATCTTTTCACACCTATAGTTTACATTTGATAGGAATGCCCATAGGAATCTCCTTATTTTTAAATACAACATGTGATTTCATCATGAAGTAGAGTTAAGATTAACTGGAAAAATGAAGAAGACTCACACCAGATCTTTAAAGATTCTATGAATGTAAGGCTGTGATGTGAAGCTAGTTTTGCGCTTCCAGCTTAAGTTAGTCCTATGGGTGAAACGTTGTGAGCCTTTACGTGAATATCTTTTCACAAACCTGAGTGATCCCTAAGAGAAAGCATTTTCTAGAAAGAAGTGTTCTCTTGGTAGTAGCGTTTGAGTACTTGGATATCATTCTAAATTTAGGAATTTAACAGCACTTAATTTTTTTTCCTCTGATTATTATTACTTAATTGCCTTGAGATTTTCCCTTGTTTTTATCTTTGAGAACTAAGTCACCAATTTTGTTAAAATGAAGATATTCTGAATTCAACTCGAAAGCTCATTGAAGCTGTTTCTGTGTTAGCATAATTAGAGATTTTAAGGTCTTGAAAGGATCTTTTCTACTCAAGGATGTTGTTTGCCCTGGAGAAGTTATCACACTACTATATCTGTATAAAAAACACGTTTACTTCAGTAATTTTTAAAAGGTGGCTTATAGGGCCAGTTGACATAGTAAGTATATCATGGTATCAGAGGAGACCCTTGTCAGGTTTGGGAAATTCTAGGGTCTGTTTCATGTGTTAGGCTTAGCGTAGTGTGGTAATGCAATTTTTTTTTTCTTTAAAGGAGTAGTTTGAGAAATCGTCCCTTGGGACTTGGGGTATTAAAAATTACCTTTTTCCATATATTCCTTTATAGCCATGCATTTTTTTTTCCAGAAAAGCGTCATGTTAACTTTCTATTGAAGTTTGCTCTTTTTGGATAAAGTTCAGCTTAATATAAATGGTCACTTCTTTATGAGACCATTCGTCAGGACTTTTTGGTATTAAAATTTCCCTAAAATACCTTTCTTTATAACAATTCCCCCTTTTCCAGAAACATTTTTTAACAACATGATGTTGATGTTTGCTGTCCTAGGATATGTTTTTCCTAGTTGAGGCCAACTTGACAAACGTTTATTTAACTCTGGTTGTGTCAGGTTCCGTGCTAAGCCAGCCTGGGAGCAGAGCCGGAGGGGACGCAGCTCTGGCCCCTAGAGAGTCCTGCCCAGGCGGGTCTGTCGTTATCCGGGACTTCAGTGCTGCAGAACTGGTGAAAACACAGAATTAAAGTCACAAAAATTCAGTCAGTTCTGTTGAACCGAATTTATTTTATTTTAGAAAGGAAGGAAAGAATAAATGAGTACGAGCGTAACTTAGTTCGCTTAAATTATTACTAATGCTTTTCACCTTACGTATAATTATATACTAATGTATATGGATACTACTTTACTTTTTTTAAAAGTTGTTTTTTTTTTTGTAAATTGGGCAATCTTTCTGACTTTTAAGATAAGTTTCTAAAGGATACTGTTGGCTGCAAGAAACTTAGTTCATTTATTCAGAGTTTATCGGTTTTGACACTTTTTTTGAAATTGTTAAAAAAACAGAAATTGTTTTTTGTTTTCATGGTGTGTGTTTCTCATGTTTGTGTTTGAACTTAATAACTTTTTCTTGATTTCAAGCCAGTGAGGACTATCAGTTTATTTACGTCACATTCACATATTCAACTCTGTGTTCTTACCTGTTTCGAGTATATAGAACAGCATATTGTTCAGTAGAATTTCTGCAGTGATGAACATGTGGCTGCTGAGCTTCCAGTGCGACTGGTACAACTGAGGAACTGAATTTTAAATTCTTATTTAATTTTAATTAATTCAGCTTTAAATTGAAATAGTCCCGTGTGGCTGGTAGTTCCTGTGTTAGACAGTGCAGGTGTAGACATGCTGTGTAAGTCTTTGTACTAGTAGCTGTGGCAGTCATGGCTCACACTTGTGGAGGGCTTACTGCAAGGCAGGTGTTGCTCGAAACTATCTACGTATATTTAGTCCTCACAACAACCCTTTGAGGTTTGTGCTATTATCTTCACCTTATTGATGACAAAACTAAAGCCCAGAAGATTAATTGAGCCACGTAAGGTTATATAAATAGGAAGCAGCAGAGCTGCAATTTATAGCCAGAACTCTGGCTCCAGACTTGTGCTTTGAACTGCAGGCAGGCCGTGCTGTGTGTGTGGTTTTGATAGGCACAGGTTTCAGTCATCGCGGTTCAGTTCATAACAGCCATTCCCCAGCAACACCATGCAGAACTGCAGTTCCCACAGGGCAGTCACCATAGCTGCATAAAGTACGGTTCCCTCCAGCTCTTTAATTCACAGGTTGCTGTGTAATGACAGGTGCTGTAGATGATCGGCCACACTGCCTCCTTCCAGGCCACTGGAGATGGCCACTGTACGTCTGTTACCAGTTCTCAGCAGACAGCAAAGTGCGCAGTTGTGCTGCCTCCTTATCTCCCAGTGACAAACCCTACTGACATTTTACAACAAATGGTTGATCGGGAAGGGATTGGTCGATAAAAATGAAAGTGTGTCCAAAACCAGAAAGCTCTAACACTGGAAGTGAAATGCAAATCCAACAAATGGAGAGTGACAGAAGCTGGCTGTGGGGATGTAGGCCCTGCTGCTGTTTGAGACTCAAGAGTAACTTGGTGGAGGGGAGCTTACCAACATAGGTGAGAAAGTGTGAAGAAAAGCAAGAGATGTCTCAAAGAAGTAATGCTCAGAGAACCTCAGAGATGTTTCATGATGTGGACGGTGCAAAGGAAAAAACATCAGATGTTGATTCACAGTTAGAAAGGAGCAGGATAATCTGTCAGAGCACAGAAAAGAGGCTTGATTCATATTGTAAATTTTACAACAAAAAAGAAGGCAAACACTCTTGATCAGTTTTTCTACAAAGAAATATAGCATTTTAATTTTAAATGTTTCTGATGTTTTAAATTGTATATTAAATATTATTTGTACTTTAAAAATTTTTGTTATTCGTTCATAAGCAACAATAGTGAGTTTTTAATGTTTGAACAAAAATTTCTGGATATCACAGAACAAGTGCGATCTTCCCATTGATGATCAGATGCTCTTGCTGTGTTTTAGCTCGCACAGCCGCTGTCACAGTCCTGCACGCTGTGCAACGCAAGGCCTGCCCGTGGGGTGTTGTCCCGCCTCTCTGAGTAGTAAGACACTGGTCATCGATTCATGCAGCAACTTTTAGTCCTTCTTCTGTAAGCATTTATCGAGCACGTTTGCTTTATCCTAGGGATATAAAAATAAAACGTGTGCTTTATGTCTGGAGATTATGGCTGAATGGAAGATACACACACATATTCAGGTGATCAGATGATGGTGTGATAATACTGCTCTGGTGGGAGTCCTCAGCTGTGGCTAAAGCCCACAAAAGGGGAAGCCAGCCAAAAAGTTGAGTGCAGAGAATACCAGGGGAGGTTACAGGAACCTTAAGAGAGGAGCAGGAAGTAGCCGGACAAGCAGAGGCTGGCGGTGGGCAGCTGAGTGGAGGGGGGCAGGAATGTCCCAGCAGGGCCAGCGCGTGAGTTCAGAGCGGAGATAGGCCGTAGCCCAGGAAGCAGGGTCCAGTGTGGCTATGTGCAGATAGGAGAGGTGTGGCCTCAGGGTAGACGGGGTCTGCCCCTGACCAACTTGCTGTGCAGTGGTGTGGAATCTGTCTTTATTCTCAAGACAAATAGTGAGCCATCGAAGGAGTTTCAATAACGGAATGATAGAAGATTTTTAAAGAGCAGTCTGCCATCTGTGTAGGGAATGGATGAGAAGGGAGGTACATCAGAGGCAAGAAGGGAGCAGCCAGAAGTGGACGGTAGGCATGTTACGCCGTGTCAGCAGTCATGTGTGTAGTAGTGGAATAAAGTAATGTAAGGGTGACGTGGCTGCTAATGAAGGTAGAGCAAGTGGCAGGTGAGAAAGGGGAAGGGACAGGGAAGGTTTGATATGTTACACAGGGAAAAGGAAGTAGTCGTTGGTGACTTACAGATGTCCGGCCTCAGATGGATGAAGGAGCATGTTTGGGGCATAAGGAGAGGCATGGAGATGAGAACATTCAGTTCAACTTACAGCATGTTGAATTTGAGATTCCTGAGGGGCGTGCCGATGCGTTCTTGCTGGCTCTTCCTGTGTCCCGCTGCGTCACGCTGGGCAAGTTGAAGAACCCCTGTGCCTCGGTTGCCTCCAACATAAAACGGGGGTAAAAACAGTGCCTGTCTTACAGCGACATAGCCATGTGCAGGTCAACTAATACACAGGAGGGCTTTAGAATCGCACCTGGCATAGCATCAGCGCTTCATGTCCTTATCGGCTGTCATTATTGTACGCCTAGTGAAAATATTTTTAAGGATTGCTCTTACGCTCGCAGACACATCTTGAAACACAGATTTGGGAGTCACCAGCATGAAGATGGTCGTTGAACAAACAGGATTGAATGATTTATCCCAAGTACTACGTGCAAAATGAAAGAAGAAAGCTAAGGATTTGGAACACTAGGGAATATCCAGAAGGGCCAGGATGTGGAAAAGAAACTGACATTTACTCAGTGGCTGGCCGGCAAATATTTCACAACGGGCATTCCAAAAAAAAAAAAAAAGAAGAAGAGGAAGAGGAGGCGGAAGTGGAGAGAGAGAGAGAGAGATAGAGAGAGACAGAGAACGCGCGAGAGAGAAAGAAAGAAAGGAAAGAAAGGAAGAAAATTAGCCCTAATATTAGCATTTCCCAATTTCTAAGGTGTAAATACTCCCATTGGAGTTGGTTTCAAGCTGCCAACTCAACTTGGAGATGAAGAGATGCTGGCAGCTGCTTTTGAGAAGGGCCCGTGCTGACGTCAGCTCTTCCTCATCGCCCAGGTTCCAGTTCCGGATACTCCACATAGAGGGTCGGGCGTGGTGCTGGGAACAGGCTTTCAGTGCTGTTAATGATCTTGTCCGTGTAGCATCATTATGGTAGAGCCAACAGCCTATCTAGTCATTTTCTAGTCTGTTGAAATTGAGGTGGTTAAGTCTCTTTGTGAATTTGTACATTTTAGAGTTACCCTAATTTTCCAGGCGCCCTGATGTTTCGCTTCCTAATCTCATTCAGCTTGCTTATTCCTGGGATACGTTGTGCTGTCGTGGGTGGGGCAGCAGGTGAGGGGCGTTCCTTCTATCCTGCCTCTGACCTCTCCATTCCCATCAAGCAGAGAGCAGATTAGAAATCACTTCCGTGGTCTGTCTCCAGTGTCAGTACCAAGGAAAGGACCAAATGGTCACTTTGAAATAAGAGAAAGCATAATATTTACTTTAAATAAACATGCTTGAAATTGTAAGACACCATTAGAATTACAGGACTAGGTCTTCTAGACGACAGGAGTTCCTGGCACATGTAAAAATGCTTGTTCCTTTGTTAAGGATGTAAGATCACTGGGCAGGTATGAGTTCCACTGATTGGGGTGTAATGCTGGCTGGACTTGACTTCCCATCTTGCACCGCAGGAAAATTTTTCTGCTCCACAGACCTGACTACACAGGTGGCAGCCACGTTGCGTTCACAACAGCATTGCTGTTAGTTCTTGCAGTTCCTGTGTGACTGAGACAGTGAGAGGCATTGTCCAAATTCACTGGTGTTGGAGACCATCTTTGGGTGAGGAGAAAGGACCAAGTTCCAGACCTTAGTTTGCCCAAGGCTGCCAAATGTAGATCAGGATTTGTTCTGCAGCCTCTGAGGCCAGAGTCATGGCCATCCACTCCAGTTAGACTTATTCTGTGGCTGGACACTGATGTTCAAACCCCTACCAGCTGCCTTAAAATTGGGTGTTCTTGGTGTGAGAATGTGTGTGGATTAGCACACGGGGGTTTTTATGGGATGACCTTTGTTGATGCCTTCCTGGTGGCATTATCTGTGACATCAGCCTCACGTGTGAAGAGCACCCCTTTTCTTTCATAATTTTGTTGTCTTATTAGTAGCCCTAGAGAAGAAAGATGTAAAATGCATTTTGTGAGCTACTGGTGATTTTTCTCTATTTGCACAAATCTTGGTTTCACTGCCCTCATGTATTTTATTACTGAATATATTAACTAAATGTATTTTATTACTGAATATATTATCTAATATCAGAGTTAGGAACTTCAGTTTTATTGTGAATACAATAAAATTTACAACAGAACAATAATTTATAGACAGAGGTTATCTCTAAATTAAATATTATAATCTCATAACTTATAATTTCTCAGTAACTTATTTCTCAGTATAAATTAAAATTCTCAACATATAAGCACATAAATTTTGGCATAAATAAACTTATAATTTTATAGTTTATAATTTTTCACGTATAAATTTTTCTCTCTGTTTTATTTAATTATAAGTGGGTTTTCTTTCTGTACCTGTTTTCATACTTTTTAGAGGAGTTAAAATTATTAGTTGATAATATTTTACAACTTTAAAAATAAGATGAGAAAAATCTAATTTTGAACTCATACTTTTAGCCTCAAATTTCATTATACTAAAAACTAATAAAAAATGTAAAAACACAGTGCTTGGTGATTTAACATCCAAATCTAACATATAAGTAATTAACCTTTTAAAAAGATTCAGGCTCCTGTACATGCCTATTCATTTATGAGCCTCAATTCATGAAATTTGTATTTTTTAAATGATAAATACTTTAAAATAATTTTCTTTGACCGCAGAAAGTTTTAGCCCGACCAGATTTGAAATCCTAATTCAGCCTCCAGTATGTGGTTTGCTGGCAAGAAGGAAATATATTTTTTCTCATCTTATAATAGAAATGTAGTATTCTGCATTAAATAGCATGTGGTGACAACAGTTATCCTGACAAAACAAAGGTTTTATATCAGGCCTTTAAAATTTCAACAGAATTTAAACATTATTTAGATAAAACAATCATGTTACAAAGATGACTTTTAACAGGATGAGGCCACCCACGGTGTGCACTAGAGAATATTGCATGCGAGCCACCCAGTGAGACTGAGGCAAGTTTTTCATCTTTGCTTAAAGTATAGTCACTAGACCAGATAATGCAGAAACTTTTTACAAGCAGCGATCAAACAACCGAAAGCAGTTTATCTTTTTTCTCTCCTTTCGTTGTGGTTAATTAAAACTAATTCACAAGTTGCAAAATTTAAACTATTTTTGTACACAGCAAATTTTGCTTTAGATAAAGCAACTCTTTCATTACAGCAATTCATATAGTTTGAGGTCTTTTAGGTAAAAAGAAAAAAAAAAACCTAGGAAATGTGCAGCTCATGTATACTTTTATAAGAATTACTGATTTAAGAAATATTCATGGTGCTGCCTTCACGTTTGTCATTTGTAAATTACTTATGTAATTTTCTTTGACTGTACGTAGAGATAATTCTGCCAAGAAATAGAATTCGTTTTAAATATTTCTTTTGAGCAACTTTTCTGAAAATGATTTCCTTGTTTTGTTTATTATCCCATGTGTAGATATTGAGTCCACAGAGTTTAGCTAATGTACATGTGTGCGCACACACATGCATATGTATGTGTTTTACCCTATTGTATGAAGTTCTGAAATAACCTCAGGGCCCATAATGGCTACAAAATTTAGAAGAGTAACGAAAATAAATGTAGGTTCACAGTAGAGAATTTATTTGGGCATGGTAAATATGGTTGTTTTTATATTGGATACCATTCTTAACATATGAAAAGACTTAGGCAAAATGGAAATTTTATTTTAGCAAACCATAAAAGAGACCCTAACCTTAAAACAGTCTGTTGAGTTTTCATGTAAAACTACAATAGCAGTCTTCACATTTTGTTTCTAGTGCCCAGTTACACATTTTCTGATGAAAATCAGCTTTCATCTCAGTTTCCTTTCCTCCCTTTAAAACAGGAGCAAGTAATACTGCGGACACATTGTTTCAAGAAGTACTAGGTCGGAAAGACAAGGCAGATTCCACTAGAAATGCACTCAATGTGCTTCAGCGATTTAAGTTTCTTTTCAACCTTCCTCTAAATATTGAAAGGAATATTCAAAAGGTAGAGTACATATTTATTTATGTACATATGGTTATAGATGTCATACATTTTTAAGATTTTTTAAGATGTTTTTTATATTAACAAAATGTCTTCATTTTGCTTTAATGACAGTTTTCAAAATGTTTCTTTATTTTAAAGGGTGATTATGATGTGGTTATTAATGATTATGAAAAGGCCAAGTCACTTTTTGGGAAAACGGAGGTGCAAGTTTTCAAGAAATGTAAGATTCATTTATTACTTTTAGATCTTCTACTTTCCTTTTATAGGAAGAATGTGGAATGTGTTCTGCAAAGAATGTTATATGAGTTTTAGTTTTTGTTTATATGAGGCTCTCTTTAAAATGTAAAACAATTACTTCAAAAATAACAGGATGACTTTTCTTATTTGATACATAGTGAAAATGAGCAACCGTGACTAGGTTGTTAGCCTGAGACATTCTTTGCCATTTGTTAACCTCAATGCTATTAAGGAGTCTTAGTTTACTGGAAAGAATCAATGACAAGTATTTTATAGAGATGGAAACCTACATTTTAATCTTCCCGTCTTCAGAGAGACCAATAGACTTATGAATTCTTAACTCATTTAAAGGAAACTCAACATCTTTTGAAATTATTTCCAATGCCAGAGTTACAGAAAAATATAAAAGTTTAAAATGCTTTTTGGTTAAAGCCTTATCCACCAGGAGAAATATCACAGGGCTTTATTAAATTTAAAAATGAAATCTGTAGGGACTCAGAAAACTGAATTTAGTTTTTTATTGTGGTAAAATATGCATGCAGTGAAGTGTGCAGACCTTACATGTTAGAGGTCAGTGAGTTTTGGCGAATACAATCACCCTTGTAACCTACACCTGAGGCAGTGTCCTGATGACTGTAGACAGGGCCCTGGTGCCTCTGTGTTAGTCGGCCCTCACCCCACGAAAGCAACTACTATTCTGCTTTCTGAAATTTGATTTTAAATTTTCATTCTGTAAATCTTGTGTATTCTTTTCTTTTTAAATAGATTATGCTGAAGTAGAAACAAGGATTGAAGCTTTAAGAGAATTACTTCTGGATAAATTGCTTGAGACACCATCAACCTTACATGACCAGAAGCGTTACATAAGGTAAATCTTCTGCAAACATTTTGCTGAATCATGTGTATCTGTTTGGTACTGGATGTATCATGTAACCTTAAGGCTAACTTGAGGGACTTTAGGAGATTATGAAACGGTGAAGGGGAAGACAAATAGCAGAAATTTAGAGGTGTCTGGTGTAGGACATCAGAATTCTTTTGAATACTAATAGATTTGGGAGTAGTTATGGAGTTACTTTTTAAGACAACTCTGCCATTTTTGGGAAAGGAAAAGTAGTCTCAACCTCTTCCTCCTGCTGAGCAAGGGGTGCCTCGCCTGGGGGATGGTGTGGGTGCCCGTATGCTGTGAAGAGGGGCTCCCTGCGTGGCTGAAAGCAGAACACTGCCACACACTGGGTGGGAAGTGCGTTACGCCACAAGATGTGCTGCTGCTTAACAGTAGAGTAAGTTCTGGAAGGTTTTAGCCTGGAATAGCTTTCTGATTTCCAAGCCTTTAGTGGTCAGTGAGAGAGAAATAAAGTCACCAAGTGAGCATACTTTTTAAAAAATTGTAGTAATATTGGGCCAGGCATGGTGGCTCATGCCTGTAATCCCAGCACAGCACTTTGGGAGGTCGAGGCGGGCGAATCACTAGGTCAGGAGTTCGAGACCAGCCTGACCAACGTGGTGAAACCCCATCTCTACTAAAAATACAAAAACCAGCTGGGCATGGTGCTGTGTGCCTGTAATCCCAGCTACTCAGGGGGCTGAGGCAGGAGAATCCCTTGAACCTGGGAGGCAGAGGTTGCAGTGAGCCGAGATCTCATGCCACTGCACTCCCAGCCTGGGCAACAGAGTGAGACTCCGTCTCAAAAAAAAAATTGCAGTAATATTAAGAGAGGTAAATTTCACAGGATATGAAGAGAAGGCCTTAGAGCGAAACAGTATCACATAATGGGAACTAGCTGTTAACTTTGGGCAACTGACTTGAGTTCTGTTTTTCAGTTTCTTCATCTGTGAAATGGACATGGTAATCAAATCTGCATCTCAGGGTAGTTGCAGAGATAATCAGAAATACATTTAAGGATTTAATACCTCCCCCGGCACATACAAAGTAGTCCGTAAATTTTATATGCATGTAGTTTATGTCAGGATTTGGAGATAAAGCGTATAAATTTTAAGGTTTTTATATCTGTGATTAAAAATACTAACCTCATTTTCTGCTAGGAGTTTTTGAGTTTGGCCTTTGTTCTCAGAATCACTTATTTTCCAAACTTAATGGTTTTTCCCCTTGAATTAGTGACATTGACTGAGTATCCAGTGGCTGTAAAATGACAGTAGACTCTGTATTTATGAATTTAGCTGTGGTCCCGTGTGATTTTTGAAAATAATGTCTCAGGAATAGGCACGGTGGCCCAGACCTGTGATCCCAGCACTTTGGGAGGCCAAAGTAGAAGGATTGCTTGAGTCTAAGAGTTCAAGACTAGCCTGGGCAACATAGCAGCACCTGGTCTCTGCAAAAAATCAACAGTGAGCCAGATGTGGGGATGCGCATCTGTCGTCCCAGCTACTCAGGAGGCTGAGGCAGTAGGATCTCTTGAGGAGCCCAGGAGTTTGACGCTGCAGTGAGATGTAATTGTACCACTGCACTCGAGCCTGGGTGACAGCAAGATCCTGTCTCTGAAAAGAAAAGACTGTCTCGGAAAGAGGGTCTGGCCTGAAAGCTGCTGTGTGTGCAGTTGTGAACTGGGAAAGGATCCGCACCTGGACCTGTGTCCTAGTGACGAGGCGTACGGCGGGTGTATGAGCTGTCGTCCCTGGCAGCATACTAGTATTGCCCAGGAGGAAGCCAGCAGAGGCACTGGCGGTGGGATAGAGAGGGCACTGTGATTGCAGGCTGCCACCCCTGCACGTGTGTGGCGTGCTCAGGCACCGTGTGGGATGTGTTTTACGTGTCCTCTCTAATCCTGATCACCACCACGAAAGGACGCTTGTGTGGTGCCCACTGGACAGGTGAAAACACCGAAGCTTGCCCAGCACACACAGTGACTGGGGGGACGGGATGCCTGTTTGGCTTCAGAGCCCACCCTTGCTTCTCTCTAAGCTGCCTTCATAAGAACGAATGTATGTGGGGTTTTTCCTGGTTTGTGGAATCCTCGAAGTTTAAAGCTGGAAATAAACCACACGTTAGTTATCCCACTGCTCTATTTTCTACCTAGAAAGCTACAGAGTTCCAGGGAGGCTGAGCGTCGCGTCCAGGACACGCAGCTGGGTAGCGTCAGACGCCCTGAGGCTGCTGCTTCCTGCTCTGCTCCTTCGCTGTGTGTGCTTTGTGTATTTCTGGCCTGTTTACACTTGTTATTTTAAACTTGCCTATAGTAATGTGTTAAATCTTACTGAGTGTACAGATTCTTTATGTTGTGAGTTACCATCTGAATGGATAACTCGTGCAGTTCTTATGACTATGTAACTTACTGGATATCCTTTAAAAGGTGGTGGTGCCAAAAAAGATTCTTTTAAGTAGCCTTTTAACTACCATTTTTCCTGTCATCTTAAAGGCAAAAGAGCAAAAATATAAACAAGTCAACAATAATTTATGTATTTTTTAATGATTATTTTATTTATGATGCTTTGAGAAAATACTGAGCAATCGTTACCTTTTTAAATTAAATGTTTAGTCACTAAGAAATAGAAAAATAAGATCAGAACCAGGTCAAATACCTGTTGGACTTTGAAATTTGTGAACATCAAGTAGGAATAGAGATAGCTTTATCGTGAACAACAATGTATTCATTTTCTTACATAGTTCAAATTATGCACAGTAGAAGGGAAAATCAGATTACCGCTATATTGTCTTACTATTGTTCACAATTTTTTCCAATATCGTTCACTATTTTATCTAATTTAAACCTTCCCAGTTCTTCTCCCTCTCCTTATTTCTGCCTTGATGCTGGCAGGAAACAAAGCTCTGCATATCACTTTCCACAGCAGTGTAGCTGTGAGAAGATCACGTCAAATATGACTAAAAACTTTCTTAATTCTTAAATTTTAAAATACTGAGCCTGTGTTCATCATAATTAACATTCTTTACATTGCTTTTTAATCTAAAAAGCCTTTTTAAAAAGTGTTCTTAATATGCAGTTTTAAAAGAAATGGCAGTAACATGTATCGTTCTAAACAAAGAGCTTTGAAATGGAACTTATTTTTAGCTGCATCCTAAAAGTAAACAAGAAACTTATTTGAAGAGCCCAGCACAAGTTGTCATACTTTTGAACTGAGTCTAGAATTTCTAAGAGAACAACTTTATCTTGCTTTGTAAAACTCTTATAAACTCCTTTACCTTAGTGCCCGTTAATAAGATGATAGAAAAAGTCTTTTGTTACTAAGTTTTGCAAGGACACAGTCAACATTTTAAAGAGACGTCTAATGTAAAAAGTTACTAAGCAAAGCTTATTGGTTCCTCTAGCTGTACTCCTGGAAAAGGAACCCTTGTACTGAACTGTCTACATTCCTGTTCAGTAATTTAACATTAAAAGGAACACCGTCCCTAAAAGAATATCTCTGTATTTTACTGCTAATACCGAATCTGAGGGCTACGTGAGTGAAAGTGTTGGGAGAAAGCATTGCAGAGGTGTTTGGAGGCGAAACAAGCCTATTTAGGGAGAACTGAAATGCATTATCCCCAGCAGGAAAGCATAGAATCACTTCTTTGGGGAGAAGAGACACAATGTACTATTTGTTGTATTTACCGTTCAGGTAATAAAAGAAGAAAGCCTGTGTGAGAGAAAGAATCAGATTGGATTTTGGAATCTGAAATGAATCGCCTGTGCCAAGCTAAATGTAGCTGGTTAGATTGTAGTTTTTTCCTCAGAATGCTCTTCTTATTTATGAGGAGCAGCCCTGGTGACTTCTTAATCTGGGCAAAGCTCTTCCTTCTAATTGAGCTGCCACTTTCTCCGCACAGAAACACATCCTGTTTGCAGCTGCCGGTGGTCACAGGGAGGAGATGGCACTTCTTGGCCACCTCTGGGCAGCCTGAGTGCGGCCCCTCTGCAGATGCCTGGATATCCAGCTCCCCACAGCACCCAGGCCCTCCCCGTCAGCTGGGAATGTCAGTGTTCTCAGCATTTTATTTGTTGCTAACATATTACAAAGTGGATTTGTTTCTCCTCTGATTGGCTGCTGATTGAGATACCTGAGTAACACATGCTCACCACTGGAGGAATGGGCTGGAAGCATGGGCACACTCCTGAGGGACTGAGGTCTGGCCCCAGGTCAGCCTGGAGCCATTGATGACATTTGCCACTGAACAGAAACCTCTAGACCAGAGACAAAGGACGGCATATGGCTTAACAACAGTTGTAAGACAATAAATTCATTTGGACATGCTCTTGGAGTTGATTTAATTGGATTTAGCTTGCTATATTTTATATTTTGTGAGGGCTGAGGGCCAAATCTTAAATAATATTTGACAGAAGTTTTTCTGTTGAAATATATTTAAATGGTCTCTATGGGTTTGGGTGTTTTATATACAAAGACTTGAAATATTTTAAGAATATTTAGGAACTAAGAAAAGCATCGAACTATACTGTATTTTCTAGGGAAATATTTTCTCAGTCATGAGTGTGGACTTTAGAGGTGAGTTGACTCCAAATCTCCTCACAGTTGGGTTGGCCCTCATGTCGCTAGAAGCAGTGCCATACTGCCATCTCGTGGCCGTGTTTCGTATCAGAAAGGAATTAAAAAGCTACGATTTAAAAACTATTTGCCCAGTGTCTGCTGGCTCCCACCTGTGTCCAATGTAATGACTCTGAACTCAGTAGAAAAACTCTGTGAGCTAAATGTAAATATAAAGAGAAATGCTCATCGAGTAGATGGATCACTGCAAATCGTCCTTGTCTTTTTACAGAGAGCTGTTCTTAATAGTTTTTTCATTTATGATATGAAAAAAAATTTTAAGCTCTGCTATTTATTTATTTTTTGTTTGTTTGTTTGCTTGTTTGTTTGTTTGTTTGTTTGTTTTGAGATGGCGTCTCGCTCTGTCGCCCAGGCTGCGGTACAGTGGTGAGATCTCCGCTCACTGCAACCTCTGCCTCTTGGGTTCAAGCGATTCTCCCGCCTCAGCCGCCCGAGTAGCTGGGATTACAGGCGCACACCAACACCCTTTGCTAATTTTTGTATTTTTAGTAGTGACGGGATTTCAGCACATTGGCCAGGCTGGTCTCAAACTCCTGACCTCAGGTGATCACCCACCTCAGCCTCCCAAAGTGCTGGGATTACAAGCAGGAGCCATCTCACTTAGCTAAGAAATTTGAATATATTTCATTGAGAACTAAATATTAAAGACTAATCTTTGACAGGGGACAAGACTAATTGATATAATTGTAGCCTTTAAAAAGTAATGATTTTAAAATATGCCAGCATTTCCCTTTGGCCTCAACCTTGGACTTGCTTTTTCAGGTACCTGTCTGACCTTCATACCCCTGGTGACCCTGCGTGGCAATGCATCGGAGCCCAGCACAAGTGGATCCTTCAGCTCATGCACAGCTGCAAAGAGGGCTACGTGAAAGATCTGAAAGGCAAGGATTTCTCTTCCAGTGTATTATGTGATTCCTTCATGTCATTTAAATACATTTTGGAAATGTTTTAATGATGAAGGCAATGACTACCGATCATCTTTTGTTTCTTTTGTGGGTTTTTTGGCCACTGGTTAGCATTGTACTGATGAAAAGGGACAGCTCTTGTATCGTGTCTGTTTTGTGGTTGATGGGCAGTGTTGGCGTTTCGGGGCAGGCAGTGTGATGCTGAGGAAGTGACATCGGTCTTTGGTAACTGCCAGTCTGTACATCGTTTCGTCACGTGTATGTTGAGTCCTGCTGTGTGCCGTGCACTGCACCCAGTGCTAGCAAGACGGAGCCACTGCCTCCCGGAGTTACTGCTGGAGGAAGGGAAAGCCACGAGGCATGTAACTAACCGAACAAATGCTGGGACAGGTGAGGAAAAGAAAAAAGAAAATCAGGATGTTCCAAAAGGGAGTGACTGAGGAGAATGCTTTAGATGGCTGGTGTGGGACTGTCTCAGAAAAGCCTCCATATTAGAACTGGAAGGATGAAAAGTGCCTACTAGCCACCTCCGCCTGAGAAAGGGGCCACCTGTGTGGCGGCCCCGAGGGAAGCTGGGGGAGAGAAGTCAAAGGCCTGTTTGCATGCAGGTTTATTGGCTTTGTTTGTATGCTGTCATTTGAAGAATATTGAGTGTACTGAATGCCTGCTATGCTGCAGACGCTGTTGGGTGCTAAAGTCACAGTAGTCAGGACAACAGACAAGGGCCTGGCTCATGCAAGCTCACAAAGTAGTAGGGGAAACAGGGAACTAGCCAGCTGTTAGAATGTGATGTGCTGTTTCCTATGACTGGGGAAGTTCCCAGTGACATTGGAGTGCCTAGGAGGAGCCTCTGATCCCGGGTTTTGAGGTCAGGGGAGTGACGTTCTGAGAGCTGAAGGAAGTGACATCTTTTGAGATCGGAAGGCGCTCTGCATTGGCCAGTTGAAATAGAGGAGGAAGGTGTTTAAGACTGTTCCAGGAAGGGAGAATGTACACAGGTTACAAGCACGAAAAGCCCTCTGAATCCTGTGTGCCTGGAGCTTAGAGCGTGGAGGTGGAGTGAGGAGACGAGCTTTCTTGGCCCCGTGACAAGTTCAGACTTCACCCGGAGCGCGTTGGGGAGTCGGTGACGGATTTTAAGCGGCGGCCAGTGGATTGGGGGAAGACCAGCTCAGACTTACTTTTGAAAAGATGACGACTCTGGCCGTCCGTGGTAGGTGGATGAGAGGGAGCAAGTCCAGAGCAGCGAAGCTGGTGAGGAGACAGGCACCCCACCTAGTGTGGAGGTGGTGGGCATGTGAGGAAGAGCACGGACTCTAGGGCCGTTCAGGAATAGAATTGATAGGGCTGGATGATGGACGAGTGAAGAGGAGGAGGGATGAGCAGTGATACCCAGATGGCTGACTGGCAGCCAGTTAGGGTGGTGGTGCCATTGAGTTAGGGAACATGGGGGAGAAAAGCGATTCTGCCCCTTTGTTTGGACAGCTTGACTTGGGGTTATCTGACATGGAAGTAGAGATGAAAGTAGTTGGATTTAGAGCCTGAGAAATTTGAGCATGGTGGGCGTACAGGTGGTGCCTTGGAACTCACGCATTTACCCAGGAAGATGAAAAAAGAAGCAAACCCAGGAAAGAGTCCTGACAAGTAACGTTTAAGGGACTGGTAGAGGAAGAGAAGCCTGTGAGGGGAACGAAGGAGGGTGGTCATGGCAGGAGGGAAACACGGAAGGGAGTGGTCAGCAAAATCCCTGAGACGAAGCAGAAGGTGAAAGAGAAACGTCCTTGTGATTGCTCTTAGGCTGTTGGTGGTGACTCTGGCAAACGCAGGGTCAGTGGCCTGAGCCCCTAACTGGATGACGTAAGAAGGGTAGTGGTCCTCATCAGGTCCCTGGGAGGATTCGGAGCTGTAACAGGAGAGCAGTCTTGGCAGAGAAGGAAGGACAATGGAGAGGTCGCTATTGTTTATTTCTAGCATAGTTTTGTCATGAATTAGTTGGCTTGGGTTTGAGGACTTTCCAGCTCTGATTCCATTTTTTCTAGGCTTGATATTTAAGAAAACCCAAATATCTCTGCTGAAGCCATGTCAACATCCCCATTAATGTTATTAATTATTTTAGATTTTTTAGCAAGTGAAAATGACAGCAAATGTTACACATAGTCTGTAGTCTTTGGGAATATTTAGAGAAGCTTACATATTTATTTCTCTGTTGATTCCACTAATAATTTTTGAGTCTACTCTGTTCGGCAGAGCTCTCAACCTTAAGGACCCGTCAGAGTCCACTGGGGCTTTTTAACAACTAATTCTCAGTTCTTGGCCTTACCCCTTCCCTCCGTGCCAAGCACATTCTAGTCCCTGTGGCTGGAACCCAGGCGTAGGCATTTTCAAGCTCCCGGGTGGTTCAGGTGCAGCCAGGGCTGATCACCAGGACGCTGGGTGCCGTGCCTGGAGCAGGAAGTGCAGTGCGAGCTGGCCTCTTGGAGCTTGTCATCTAGTGAGAAACACATCACCTAAAAAATCACGTAGGCATGTATTCGGTCGGGATAGTGAAAAGTGTGAGGAAGTGGGGAGTACAGAATTTATGAAAATGTGTGACAGGAGGGTGCAGTCTGGTTGGGGGGAGTCCAGGGACGTCTCCTAGAGGAGGTGAAATCTCAGTTGAACCTGAACGACGACAGTCACTTTCCTAGATAGGCACTGAGAAGCGTTCCAGACACTTTCAGGTGCCCAACAAATGTCACTGCTCTCCAGCAAAGGCGGTGATGAATGCAGTCACAATATTCACCGGGTACAAGTAGGATGTGTGGTCTGACCGAGGATTTTCCTACTTAATCTGAATACATAATTTGGTATGAAAATATTTGAATTTCTGGAATATGTGTGTAATTTATGAAGACAACATAATTGGAAAAATTCCAGAAAATTTCATCTATCTTGTCATTTCTTTACCTAAATATCCGTCACCAAAGGTCTGAATCTTTCTCAGAGATAGAGGGAAACACGCCTTCATCTTCCCTTCCCTGACATCTTAATGTACTGCTATATGTATTCATTCTAAATTGCTTGAAGTCAGCATTTTGGAAAAAGAAAAGGTGGCAGAAGCTTTTGTGTAACTCACTTACTCTGAGCAAGCTTGTTGTGTACCTTGTTCATCACTTGGGAAATAATCGAAAGAATGTGCATGAAATGGGAGCAGTGCCTCAGGTTACTTGCTTTACTTCATCTTTTCATTAGAAAGTGGAGGGCCAGTGCGGTGGCTCACGCCTGTAATCCCAACACTTTGGTAGGCCGAGGCAGGTGGATCATAAGGTCAGGAGTTTGAGACCAGCCTGGCCAACGTAGGGAAACCCCATCTCTACTGAAAATACAAAAATTAGCCAGGCATGGTGGCACGTGCCTATAGGCCCAGCTACTCAGGAGGCTGAGGCAGGAGAATCACTTGAACCCAGGAGGCAGAGGTTATGGTGAGCCAAGATCATACCACTACACTCCAGCCTGGGCAACAGAGCAAGACTCCCATCTCAAAAAAAAAAAGAAAAGGAGAAACAATTCCTTACTACTCTTTGAACTTTACAATTTTAATGTCAGTACAATATAAATGTCTTAAATTCACATTTTATTTTTTCTTTTGACATTCAGACCATGCTTAACTGTTCCCTCTGTCATTGTCAGTAAACACTGCTAATCTAAATGTAGGTAATTCTAGCACATGAGAGCCTTTTAACTGGAAAATTGGGGTGGTTTTTTGAACTTAGGTCAGAAGTGATTTTCACTATTAAATTTTGGAAAATCCCACATATATTTAAAAGCAGAAAGGATAATGTAACAACACCCCATATACTCACCCTGACTTCAACAGTTACCAACTCATAGCCAGTCTCATTTTACCAACTCATAGCCAGTCTCATTTTATCAACTCATAGCCAGTCTCATTTTACCAACTCATAGCCAGTCTCATTTTATCATCACCTCATAGCCAGTCTCATTTTACCAACTCATAGCCAGTCTCATTTTATCAACTCATAGCCAGTCTCATTTTACCAACTCATAGCCAGTCTCATTTTATCATCAACTCATAGCCAGTCTCATTTTACCAACTCATAGCCAGTCTCATTTTATCATCAACTCATAGCCAGTCTCATTTTATCAACTCATAGCCAGTCTCATTTTACCAACTCATAGCCAGTCTCATTTTACCATCAACTCATAGCCAGTCTCATTTTATCACCAACTCATAGCCAGTCTCATTTTACCAACTCATAGCCAGTCTCATTTTACCAACTCATAGCCAGTCTCATTTTACCAACTCATAGCCAGTCTCATTTTACCCATCAACTCATAGCCAGTCTCATTTTATCCACCAACAACTCATAGCCAGTCTCATTTTACCAACTCATAGCCAGTCTCATTTTACCAACTCATAGCCAGTCTCATTTTATCAACTCATAGCCAGTCTCATTTTACCATCAACTCATAGCCAGTCTCATTTTATCACCAACTCATAGCCAGTCTCATTTTACCAACTCATAGCCAGTCTCATTTTACCAACTCATAGCCAGTCTCATTTTACCAACTCATAGCCAGTCTCATTTTACCATCAACTCATAGCCAGTCTCATTTTATCACCAACTCATAGCCAGTCTCATTTTACCAACTCATAGCCAGTCTCATTTTACCAACTCATAGCCAGTCTCATTTTATCAACTCATAGCCAGTCTCATTTTACCAACTCATAGCCAGTCTCATTTTATCAACTCATAGCCAGTCTCATTTTACCAACTCATAGCCAGTCTCATTTTACCAACTCATAGCCAGTCTCATTTTATCAACTCATAGCCAGTCTCATTTTACCAACTCATAGCCAGTCTCATTTTATCAACTCATAGCCAGTCTCATTTTACCAACTCATAGCCAGTCTCATTTTACCAACCTCATAGCCAGTCTCATTTTACAACTCATAGCCATTTTACACTCATAGC